CACTGTCCCCCATTTTAGGTATGTGGTGTCATATTATAAATCCTTTTTTTTTAAGATTTATTTATTTGACAGAGAGAGATCACAAGTAGACAGAGAGGCAGGCAGAGAGAGAGAGAGAGGAGGAAGCAAGCTCCCTGCCAAGCAGAGAGCCTGATGCAGGACTCCATGCCAGGACCCTGAGATCATGACCTGATCATGAGGCTTAACCCACTGAGCCACCCAGGCACCCCTATAAATCCTTTTATTTTGTGAATCTCTTCACTGATATTTACAGATAGGCTTATTTTTACTTCTGTTTGTTTTATACTTTTCATATTCTCACTTATGGTCTTTCCTTTCCACTCTGAGTCCCCTCTAATATTTCTTGTGGGGATGATTTAGTAGTCATGAGCTCCTTTAGTTTTTATTTGTCTGAATAACCCTTTATTTCTCCTTCTATACTGAATTATATAGCCTTGCTGAATAGAGTATTTTTGGCTGCATATTTCTCCCTTTCAGCATTTTGAATTTACCATGCCACTCCTTTCTAGCCTGCAAAGTTTCTGCTGAAAAACCAGCTGATAGCCTTATAGGGTTTCCCTTGTATTTAACTGTTTTTTTCTCTTCCTGCTTAAAAAAGTATCTCTTTATCACTACATTTCAATTAGCATAAGTCTTGGTGTGGACCTCCTTGGATTGATTTTGTTGGGGGAATCTCTGCTTTCTGGATCTGGATATCTGTTTCCTTTCCCAGGTTAGGGATGTTTTCAGCTATTATTTCTACAAATAAACGTTCTGTCCCCTTTTGTCTGTCCTTCTTCTGGGATCTCTATACTGTGAATATTATTATGCTTGATGAAGTCACTCAGTTCCTTAAGTCTCATTTTTTATGTATTTTTTTTCTCTCACTGACTTTGCCTGCATACTTTCCATTAGTCTGTTTTCCAGGTTATTAATTTATTCCTCTGCTTCCTCTAGCCTGCTATTTATTCCATCATATGTATTTTTTATTTCAACTGTCATATTCTTTTTTTAAAATTTATTTATTTATTTGACAAAGATCACAAGTAGGCAGAAAGGCAGGCAAAAGAGAGCGGGCAAAGCAGTCTCCCTGCTGAGCAGAGAGCCGGATGCGGGGTTTGATCCCAGGATCCTGAGATCATGACCTGAGCTGAAGGCAGAGGTTTAACCCACTGAGCCACGCAGGCACCCCTCAACTGTCATATTCTTGATCTCAGATTGTTTTCTTTTTAATCTCTTTATTAAGGGTCTCACTGATGTCTTCTACCTTTTCTCAAGTCCAGTGAATATCATTACAATCACTACTTTAAATTCTCTATCAGGCGTAACACTTACATCTGTTTCATTTAGGTCTCTTGCTTTGATTTGTCTTGTTCTTTAATTTGGGACATATTCCTGTTTCCTTATTTTGCCCAACTATCTGTGTCTGTTTCTCTGTGTTAGGAAAGTCATTTATGTCTCTTGCCCTTGAAAGTGGTGGATGGGGCATCCTCTTTTAACAAGGCTACATCTCTCTTCTTCCCACAGGGGTGTGTATGAGCCAGACATAGCTGCTCACTGCAGTTTTAACAATATGTACTTGTCCTCTGCAAGAAGTAAGGAGATGCAGTGTTGGCATTATTTCTGATGGTTTTCTGGGGAGGGGACCCACAGTTTTGGGAGTGAGGCAGTCTCAGCTGGAGTGGGGAATGGCATGGTGTAGGCAAGTTAGGTAGTGAATGCTAGTGCCTGGCTGGTTCCTTCATGTGGCTATGTGATTATGCTGTGGGATGGGGAAGGAAATGGCACCTGCTAGCTCCTTTTTTTTACTGTAGAAGTTCCTCAGTGAACTCTGGGATTACTAACTAACTCTCCCTCCTGTAAGTCCCAGATATTTTTGAAACTGCTGCTGCTAAGCTATATCTTCCTAGCAATTGTGCTTTCTCTTTAAGTCTGGGGACTCAGCTTCCTAATAGCCTTCAGGTTCTTTTAGAGTAGAGCCATTGATTTTTGAAAATTCTGGGGTTTAAGACCTGCTGGTTATAAGAACTCATGAAATCTGGTCCTTCTGATTTTAAGAGCCAAATGCTATGGGGTTTCATCTTCCCTGTCAAGATCTCCATTGTGATAGTCTGTTTCTCACCCCTCTCTGTGCCCATAGACCCCTCCCTCCCATGGATGGTGCATTATCCATTTAGGTCCCTAAAGGGTCTCCACCCTTCCTTTCCACTCCAATGTAGTCTTTTCTCTTCATTTAGTTGTGGACTTTGTTCTGCCTGTCTTTAGGTATTTTTCTGGGTTATTTGCACTGATGGGTTATCTATTAGTTTATGTGGGATGAGGTGAGGTTAGGATCCTCCTACTCTGTCATCTTCCCATGAAGTCTAATAGTGTCTTCCCTCTTGACATTTTAAGTTCAAAGCCATGTTTAAAAAATAATCTCAGTGGATCTTAATTTATGACTATAATTGCATCCATCAGAGCTTTCTGAGTTCTGTTCTCTTACAGTTATTTTCTGTCTGTCCCTTTAGATCTGCTTTAGTGGGGATACCTTCACGGTTCGTTCAACTTCTTATTCCTCTCTGAAGTTACTTAGTCCCAGTAGATGGCTTATTATGTTGCTGTGCCTGTTTATGAATGTGTTTTCCTTGGTACATTATAGTCCTATATAGAGATCCCTTGAACAGTAGCTAGAAGGCTTGTTTTTGTCCTCATTGTTACCTTTTTCTTTTTTCATCGATGCTGTGTCCTCTCAAATTTCAATAAGAACAAAAATATAGATTTAAAGCTTTCTTTTGTTTCTTGATATAATACTTTCAGAAGAGACACATTTACTCTACACTTTGAAGATGGTTTTCCATTTTCATTTAAAGTTCATATTTTTCTGATGAGAAGCAATCATTCAAATCAGTATTTCTCTCTGTGTAATTTGGCATTCTCTTTGTCTACTTTTAAGACTTTCTCTTTTTAGGAGCACCTGGGTGACTCATTCATTAAACATCTGCATTCAGCTCAGGTCATGAGACCAGGTCCAGGGATCGAGCCCTGCATCAGGCTCCCTGCTTAGCAGGAAGCATGCTTCTCCCTCTCCCACTCCCCCTGCTTGTGTTCTCTCTTTTGCTGTGTCTCTCTCAAATAAATAAACAAATTCTTTAAAAAAAGATTTTCTCCTTTTACTTGGTTCTCAACATTTCGCTGTGAGGTGTGTAGGCATGATTTTCTTTACATACATCAACTTGGGTCTGCTGAGCATCTCAAGTATGTAAATTTCACCAAATTTGAGAAATTTTCAGCTACTTTTCAACCACTTTTTCTATTACTTTCTTTCTCCCTTTTCCTGTGAGAATGCAATTACATGTTAGATATTTCATAGTATCACAATTGCTCCTCAGTCTCTCTTCATTTTTAAAATACTTGTTCTCATGTCTTTAGATAAGTATTTTCTACTGATATATCTTCAAATGGTCTGACTTTTTCCATTGTCCTATCCAATTTGCTCCTATGGTCATCCTTTAAGTTTTTAAAATTCAGATACTGTATTTTTCTCTACTATAATTTACATTGGCTATTTTTTTTAAAGATTTTATTTATTAGAGAGCATGAGAGGGGAGAGGGTCAGAGGGAGAAGCAGACTCCCTGCTGAGCAGGGAGCCTGATGTGGGACTCGATCCTGGGACTCCAGGATCATGACCTGAGCTAAAGGCAGTCGCTTAACCAGCTGAGCCACCCAGGCACCCTACATTGGCTATTTTTTATAGTCATACTAATCTGCTGGAATTTTTATTATTTCCGTCATTATGAACATATTTTCCCTTACTTTGGGTATTATTATAATAGTTGCTTTAAAATTCTTATACACTAACTTTAAAATTGAATCTATCTTGGGATCACTGTAGATTGTTTTTATCTTATGAGTAAGTCTTATTTTGCTGTTTCTTTAAATGTCAAGTAATTATAAATTGTGTTCTGAATATGGGGAATATTGTGTTATTCAAACTCTGGATTCTACTGTATTCTTCTGTTATGGTTATTCTGATTTTTGTTTGTTTTACATTAATATACTTAACATTATTGGATGCAAAATGAAAATTCTGTGTTTAGGCAACAACTTAAATTGCATTTCAGTTTTTTTAGATTTTGGTAGGCTGCTTAGAGTCTTCCATAGGTATATGTGGTTCAGGGCTTGGGGGAAATTTGGGAAGGGTTTATACAGAGTTTGGGTCTCCTTCTGTCATTCTGTCTTCTTTGTGTGACTTCCCCTAAGTTTTTCAGTGGATGCCATTGCCCTGATTTCTTTCTTCTGGTTTGTAAAAACTCTTTTTTTTGTTGTTGCTGTTGTTTTTTTAAATCAGCTATTAGATGCTCTGTCTATCTCAGGTAGGGTTTCTCTCAGACTAGAAGCCAGGAAACAAGAATCTTACCTAGGACTCTTCTTCCAAGCATCTCTTTCTCTCAAGAATCTACCTATTCTTGGTTGCTATTTAGTGTTGATATTTGTATTTTGTTTAGGGTTTGTAGTTTTTGTGTATGGCTGGGTCTGTCCAGTAGGAACTTACCCTGCTGTACCAGAAACAGAGCTGGCGAATTTAGATATGATTACTCAAACTGTCTCTTATCTGATGGAGAGTTGCTGAGACATTTCATGTATAACAGAATCCATTCATTCTCACAAAGTCAGAACTATGTTTATTTTCTGCTAAGAGTAGAGTTGCTTCTTTTGATAAAATCTGAAATGTTTGGATTTAAATATTTTAGGTCTAGAGAAAGGGGTAAAATTAAATATTTAATTTATTGTGGTAATAATTTATCAGATTGAAGTCAGTTTTCCTATAGAAAATCAATAAGAAATGACAGCTGCAGAAATTATCCACCATTATTTCTGAGAAATGTGCACGTAAATGTGCATGCTCCAGTCATCATCTTGGCTTTATGTGGATTTTAGAAAGATAATAATTGTAACAATAAATTGATAGAAACAATTACTAAAATGAATGTAATTTCCCCTTTATATTACACCATAGAAAGTAGCACATGCTCTGGAAATTGAGAACAAATTCCTTCAGGAACAACTGAAACAGGCTTTCCAGGTAAATTACATTATGTTCTTTTAAAATTGTCAACAAGTGAGGGAAATATCTGTAAACAACTGTTAAATTAATAATTTTGACCTTGAAAACTAATAGGTCTATGTCTTATACTAATATTCCAGATTTAAAGTGCATTCATTTTATGTACTAGGAATATATTAATAAAATTTAATTTGCATTCTTATTCAAAGCAATAAACTAGAAAGAAGAATAAACTTCCTTAATCAAATAGAATAAATCTATTTCAAACTGAGACACTGTTATGTGGACAATAATTCAGGCATTCCAGCTCAACTCAGTTAAACTAGGATGTTGGTTTTTACTACTCTTTATGAAATTCTTGTTAAATGAGTAAAGAAATGAAAAAAGCTACAAACATTTTCATAAGTGGATAGACAAAAGTATAATTATTTTTATTTTCCTTTGAAAAAATGCAAGATAATACACAAATTTGTTAATGATATAATTCTGAAATGTGGCTGAGGACAAAATAGATAAAAAAAAAAAAAGCAATGGAGGGAGCCTGGGAAAATGGCAGAATAGGAGGACTCTAAGCACACCTCATCCTACAGATATAGCTAGATGACACTTGTATCAGTGTAAATAATCCAGAAAACAACCTAAAGGCTGACAGAACAAACTCCACAATTAAACGTAGAGAAGAGGCCACACTGAAGAGGGTAGGGCAGGATGAGGACAAGGTGGGGAACTAAACATGTATGTGGGACTGTCCCCTGGAGGAAGGGACACTGTGGGTAAAAAGAGGGAAGAGAGACTGCTACTTTGGGGAACCTACATGGAGAAGATGAATCTCTGTAATATTTGACTTTGAAAGCAAGAGTCTCCAAAATTTGTGAGTTCTTAATAGTAACACGACTTAAAGCCTGGAATTTTACAAATTAGCAGGCTGGCTCTGAGAGAGCCCAGAGGGTATTAGGAAGCTGGGCTCTGTCTTTAATGAGACAGCACAACAAACAGTTTGTGGAGGTATAGCATAGTAGCAACAGTTTGAAAAATGCATGGAATATATGGGAGGGAGAATTATTTACTCATCTCAGAGCCCTTCTCAGAGTGGTGGGAATCAAAGGGAAATCCCTCCAGGAACAAAGGAAATAGTAGGTGCCATCTCCCTTCCCTACCTTCTAGCATAAACATAAGGCCACCTGTAGGAACCAGCATGATGCCGACATTCAGTACCTAACTTGCTTACACTAAGCCCCACCCTGTTACCCTTCAGTAGACCCAAACTTCCCATTTGCCTCAGTCCCATTGTTTTGGATCCCTTTACCCAGAAGACCCATGCAAACTTCACTAATACCTCCTCTCTTGGTGTACTCATTTTGGTGCTCCTGGTCCTGGCAGTGGTGGCAGGCCCTATGGAAGCCCAAGCTACAATCTTGTTAAAATTGTGTGCCTTATCCGCGCAGCACTGGTCTACTGCCACAGGTCTCATTTTACATGCAGACTAGTGTGCACCTTATAAAACGTGCTCCACTACTGCCACGGACCAAATACTATCAACAATAGTCAGAGAGTCTCTGCAGATGACTGAAGAAAAAAGTGACTAGGACACAACATCAGGGCATATTCAAAACACACATAGTAGACACCCCATGAGCATCAGTTCCTTGGGATAGGGGATGCTGCACTGAGGCACTACAGTACCTCTTCTTTATAAGGCCTTTTTAAAGAACAGGAGATGTAGCTAGCTTTCCTAAAACACAGAAACAGAGAGACTTAGGCAAAATGAGGAGACAGGAGAACATGTTCCAAATTAAAGAATAGGACAAAATCATATCAAGAGACCTAAGCAGAACAGATATATGTGATATACCTGATAGAGAATTTAAAATAATAATTATAAAACTTATTGGACTTGAGGAAAGAGTGGAAGATATCAGCGAGACCCTTAACAAAAAGATTAAAACGAATCAAGCAGAGACCAAGAACATGATAATTAAAATTAAAAATATACATGATGGAATAAAGAGCAGGCTAGGGGAAGCAGAGGAATAAATTAATAACCTGGAAGACAGGCTAATGGAAAGTAGTCAAGCAAAGTGAGTGAGAGAAAAAAGAATATGCAAAATGAGAAAGACTTAAGGAAATCTATGTCTTCATCAAGCATGATAATATTCACAGTATAGAGATCCCAGAAGGACAGACAAAATGGGGCAGAAAATTTATTTGAAGAAATAATAGCTGAAAACATCCCTAATCTGGGAAAAGAAACAGATATCCAGATCCAGAAAGCAGAGAGTCCCCCAACAAAATCAACCCAAGGAGGTCCACACCAAGACACATGGTAATCAAAATGAAAAACTTACTGATAAAAAAAAAAATTAAAGTAGCAGGAGAGAAGACAAGAAGATGATGGCAGAATATGAGGACCCTAAACTCACCTTATTCCATGATTATAACGAGGTAACTATCAAATCATCCTAAATACCACAGAAACCAACCTGAAGACTGACAACTACGGGAAGAGGCCACATCAAAGAAGATAGGAAGTGCAGAGATGTGGTTTAGGGGAGAAACGGATCTTGGCTGTGGCAGAGGGAAAGCAGCTACTGTCATTGAGAATGGCAGGGGAGAGAAGAGTGTGTAGTGGGATGTACAAGGAGAATGTCTCCCCAAAGTAAATGGCTTGGGGAAAAAAATGGGCTGAATTTTATGAGTTCTTGCAACCAGCACAGCTTCAAGCCTACAGTTTTAAAGGTCAACAAGCTTGGTTAGGATAGAGCCCTGAAGGCAGTGTGTTGTTCTTAGAGGGAAGGCAGGCAAAAAAATTGGGGACATACAGTATGGAAACAGTGATCTGAAGAGTGCTTGGGGCATACAGTGGGGACATTATTTGTTTTCTCAGAGCATGTTCCTGAGAGGCAGTACTCACTGAGACACCTCTCTGGGAACAAAGCTGGTCACCAGTTCCCTGCCCCACCTCTCAGCAAAAACACAGAGCCACCCACAGAAGTAGTGCAGTGTGGACACTGGTGGCATTGCTTGCTTACACTAAGCCCCATTCCCCTGTACTCCAGTGGAACTGCCCTTCTCAGTAATGCTTACCTCAATCCTGTGCAGTTGGTGCATCCCCCAGAAGACCAGCACAAAGACCTGCCCACATCACATCTACCAAGCATAGAGTTTTGCAGGGCCTCAGTTCCCATGGAGGTGGTGACAGATCTCATTTCACAAGCATATCAGAATATACCTAATTAAAACTCCCCACAGGGGCACCTGGGTGGCTCAGTGGGTTAAAGCCTCTGCCTTCGGCTCGGGTCATGGTCCCAGTGTCCTGGGATCGAGCCCCACATCGGGCTCTCTGCTCAGTAGGGAACCTGCCTCCTCCTTTCTCTCTCTGCCTGCCTCTCTGCCTACTTGTGATCTCTATCTGTCAAATAAATAAATAAAATCTTTAAAAAAAAATAAAAATAAAACTCCCCACATTTAGGCCAGGCACTAAACACTGCCAACAGCAGGCAAAGAAATCCTCTGCAATGACTGACTTGAAGGATAGAGCAGTCAGAATATAAGAGCAGAAGACAACACACTGTAGACACTCCCTGAAGCTCTAGGCCCTGGGCAGTACATGACTTCTTCTTCATAAGGCCATTACTTTTAGGACAGGAGAGGGAAACATAAGTGGCTTTTCCAACACAGAGAAGAAGGCAGAGTCTTAGAAAAAATGAGAAGACAGAGGAATTCATCTCAAATGAAAGAAGATAGATTTGTGGCCAGACATCTAAGTGAAGCAAATATAAGTAACATGCCTGATGGAGAATATAAAGCAGTGATCATTAGGCTATTCACTAGGCTTGGGAAAAGAATGGAACACATCAGTGAGACCCTTACCACAGAGATAAAAGAGTTAAAGTATTAATCAGAGAAGAAAAGTACAAAAAAGAAGGTTAGAAAGATCCTTGATGCAATGAACAGCAGACTGGAAGATGCAGAGGAATAAATTAATGACCTGGAAGGCAAAATAATGGAAAGCTATAATGCTGAACAAAAGAGAGAATTATGCAACACGAGAATAGACTTGGAGAACTCAGTAACTCCATCAAAGGTTACAACAGTTGTATTACAGGAGTCCCAGAAGAAGATGAGAAACTGGAGCAGAAAATGTATTTGAAGAAATAATCGCTGAAAACTTCAATAATCTAGGGAAGAAAACAGACACACAGATCTAGGAGACATAGAGAACTCCCATCAAAATCAACAAAAGGCTGATACCAAGACATATTTTTTTTAAAGATTTTATTTATTTATTTGTCAGAAAGAGAGTGTGTGCACAAGCAGGCAGAGTGGCAGGCAGAGGCAGAGAGAGAAGCAGGCTCCCCGCCAAGCAAGGAGCCCGATGTGGAATTTCATCCCAGGACCTAGGACCATGACCTGAGCTGAAGGCAGTGGCTTAACCCATTGAACCACCCAGGCATCCCTGACATATTGTAATTAAATTTACAAAATATAGTGATAAAGAAAAAAAATCTTAAACTCAGCAAGACAATGAACTCTCAACTCTATGGTCAACTAATCTTCAACAGAGTAGGAAAGAATATCCAATGGAATAAAAGACAGTTTCTTCAGTAAATGGTGCTGGGAAAATTAGACAGCCACATGCAGAAGAATGAAACTGGACCATTCTCTTACAACATATACAAAGATAAACTCAAAATGTATGAAAGACCTCAATGTGAGACAGGAATCCATCAAAATCCTAGAGGAGAACATAGGCATTAATTTCTTCCACATTGACCACAGCACATTCTTGCAAGACATGTTTCTAAAAGCAAGGAAAACAAAAGCAAAAATGAACTTTTGGGACTTCATCTAGATAAAAAGCTTCTGCACAGCAAAGGAACAGTCAACAAAACTAAGAGGTGACCCATGGAATGGGAGAAGATATTTGCAAATGACATTACAGCTAAAGGGCTCATATCCAAGATCTATAAAGAACTCCAACTCAACACCCAAAAAACAAATAATCCAGTCAAGAAATG